GCTCACTGGCTGAGCGAGGTGCGGGAGCAACACCGAGGGTTGCGGTCCCATTCCCGGTCCCGGTCCGGTACGGGCGCGACACTGAGGGTTGCGATCCGTTGCCGGTCACGAAAAAAGACAAAAAGGAAAAAAAAAAAAAGGAAAAAAAAAAAAAGGAAAAAAAAAAAAAGGAAAAAAAAAAAAGGAAGAAAGATCATAGTCTTTAAATACCAGTAAAATGAAGTAAGACTTTGCTTGAATCTCCTGCACCTCTCACAGTGGCAAATTCACGTTTGGTGATAAGTGAATGTGCATTTATATTTACATTTAAAATGCTCATAGCTTTTCATATTTTCTTTGTTTCTGAGAATTGGATGGATGTTAAGAAATAAACAAGATGACACCTGTAGAAATCTATTTTAAACTCTCAGACACTAAACCTATATAAGAAGTTGCCTATTTTACTGCAAGACTTTTTTTGTAACTGTTCTTTTATTAAATAACACTATTTTCCTTATTATAAAGGTACGTTTTAACTGGGAAAAATAAAATAAATTTGGAAGCTAGAGAAAATTATAATGTAGACTAAGGTTTAGCCAACTATGGGCTGTGGGCCAATTCCAGCCTGTTGCCTGTTTTTTAAATAAAGTTTTATTGGAACCCCATTAAGCCCATTCATATGGTCTCTGGCTGCTCTTGCACTGCAAACGCTGAGTTGAGTAGTCATGACAAAGACCCTACAGCCCACAAAGTGTGAAACATTTTACAGGTCTCTGATGAAAACCTTGAGAATTACCCTTAGTCCCTCCTTCCAAAGGACCAGGTGACCATGTTTTGTGCATTATTCTTTAGTCTGCCCATTCCTCAACCCCACATCCTTTCAATTTATTTGACAAATATGCATGAAGCATCTCTGAAGGTGTCATATATAATATTTATTACATATTTTAATAAAACTGAGAAAATACACTCCATACTGTTTTCTGAATGATTTTTTCACTTAATATTCTCTGTGATGTTTTACTCAGAAATCATTCTTGTCAGGTTAAAAAATAAGGTTTAAAAAAGTAACACAAGAAAATGTTTCTTCTATGCTAAGTGGGGCTGGCTGGGTAGAGCACTCTTGTTCCCACCCGGGGTGACTCATGTCCCACAACATGACCATAGACCATGACACTTATGAAATGTCTGCTGAGGATCTCTGAGGGAGTTAGACTTTTTTAAAATGAGGATGAATTGACACACATCCTCCCCTCCTGGAAAAGCAGGTCAAGGGCCCTGATTCGGTGGCTCTATCCCCAGCTCCTCCTGCAGCCCCTGAAGGGTCAAGCATCAGGCACAGTTCTGAGCACACATTCAACTTCTCATTCTGTGGTCTCATTCTCACTGATGGCTCATCTCATCTCGTTGTCATAACAACATTGTGAGGTGAGTACATATCATTTGTCCTGTTTTACAGATGAGGAAATAGGGACTGAGACCGCACCCCTTGCATATCTGGCTTCCGAGCCTGGGTTCTGACCACTTTACTGCAGCCTTCGTGCACGTGAGGAACCCATAAATCGTGGCTCTCACTTTACTTATTCCTGATGAGAGCCTGTGTACTGCAGCATTTAAAGGCACCACCTTGGAATCAGCAAACCTGCTTCGATCCTGGATTTCTCATGTACAAACTCTGTGACCCTTGTGAACATTGCATTATCTTGCTAAGCCCAAATTCTTTTCGCCTATCGTGAGGAGCTAACTAATCCTTGTGCCCAGGATTCTTGGGAGATTCTTGCAAATGAGTTACTTGTGAATGATTTAGCATAGTATCTGGCCCATGAGAAGTTCTCAGTAAATGTTTGCCATCTTAGAGGCACAAATAGAAGTCGTAGCGCCAGTAATATTGACAGTGCTAACATCTCAGACATCAGATTTGCTGACAAGACTTGTGTGCTCATATTTCTCTAACAAAACAAAAGATACTACAATGAGTTTTAAGGCAGATCAAAGAGTGTACATTCTTCTAGTTCATAGTCCCCTGAAAGTCAACAGCTAAAACAGTAATGCATCTAATCTCGATAAAGACCAAAATTCAAAGGTTTTGAGCTATTTGGGAAAAAACAAACATGCCTTTTCACAGCTCTCCTTTTTCTGTTTTCTGTGATCAGAAAACTTCTGGCTGGGAGAGGAGCAAGCAATCCACAACCGAGATGTGACCTCCACATCAGAACGTGAAGAGCGGTGGCTTTGCTCCCACTGGTCAGTTACAAACTGTCTCCTGCCTGAGTGTAAGCAAAGCAGCTTTGGAATAGATGACTCTTGGGACAAGAGGGAGAGACAGAAGATTCCTTCTCAACTAGCACCAGCACCAACTGATTGCTGACATCAAAAGCACGAGACATTTCCTCAGTTACTGCCTTATGTCACAGGTGACCCACTTAATGCATGGCCGCTGGGCTGCAGTCATTCCAATCCAAAGTCCAGGCAACTGTCAGGGAGACAACCCGTGAGATGGACATTAGCTGCTGAAATCTAGGGAGAGGGCAACATCAAAAGGTCTGAATTTTTGCCAATGCCTTTCAAGAGTTTCCAGGAAAAGGGAGCAGAGAAGGCCAAGCAGCCAGAGACCAAGCCACGGCCTCTACACAGCCAAGCTGCAGAAACCACAGGTTGTAGCTAAATAAATGTTCAGAAGAGAAGTTTTCCTAAATCCCAGATAATTGGGAAAGTATTGCTTTAATGTCAATAATTTTATCTACAGTCACTGGTGCATGTAGGAACTTGGAATTCTGCGGTAAATATTTTTGATGGAAATGACCAAATAAGAACGAGGTTTGTAAATGCTTCCAAGTTTATTCTTTCCTTCCAGGAGTATTCAGTTAAATATCTTCTTGGTGGGCTGTACGAGCAGGAGGTTCAGAAGAACCTATCTTAAACTATTCCAGGGCTGAAATAAAATAGTCTTCCTCTTGAGCCTTGAAGGATCTTAGCCACAGATGCTTGGGGGGTGGAAAAAATCTGATTTCTTGGGTCTCCCAATACGTGGAAATATAAAGCCACGGATTCAGTTCCCTCCTGATCAACTAAGCCCCTCCAAGAATGGAGAAGAGAGAGAAGACTCTTCAGCACCAAAGGAACTTGTCAATTCTCTGTTCCTTTTTACCTTCTCCACCGCCAGTCCAGTGATCTCAGGATACTGCAAATACTCCTCCACGCTGGAGCCTCTTACTGAGCTGGTGTCCTGGGACAAACCTACCTCTCTGGCAGGTCAGACATCCTATTCCAACCCCTAACTGAGACCATCCATTCATTTCAGATCTCAAATTTTAGTGAGGTCTACTATGTGTCAGGACTTTTTGGAAACACAGAAATAAATGCCATTGCTCTTTATTTACAGGGTAGTGGAGAAAAGAGTCAAATAAACAATTAAGGTGGGGCTTGCAGGGGTTGGTATCAGGGCTTCCTGGAAGCTGAGCTGACTCTGAAAGGAAAGAGCCCAGATTAGAAGCTATGTGGGGCCTGAGTTGGAGGAGATCTGAATGCTCTTTTCACCCTCGTGGGCACATACGTAAGGCTGGGTGCAGCTCACACCTAGCATTGGGGCAGATGCTCCGCATCTCTCAAGTTCTCTTTTCCCTGGTTCCTCCCCCTGGAAGTTGGGTTCTGAGTTTTGCTTCAGTTGGAATGACAAGATGGCTATAAGATCTGAGACTTAGATTTGGGGGCTTTTTGTGGAGAAAGCACACTTTTGGAAACTCTTAGTTTCTATGCCATTCAGGCAGAATTTAGATCTTCATGCGTCTTGACTAATAGTGGTACATGACATTCCAGCAAAGACCATACAGCTAATGGTTCCCTTAAGTCCCAATCTTAAGACACCAAGCTCAGCTCACTTTTTATTACAGTACACTGACGTCAATTGTGTGCTTTGGACTGTTCCATCCATTAAAAGAAAAGACAGCTTACTTCAGCATTCAGTACTACTATTACTTTAGGAATGCATACTCCTTGCAAAAGTCAGTAAAATGTTATATTAGCTGATTTTTTAGTGTTACATAATAGATGCAGGGTAGCAAATATGGAGTTATCTGTTTACACTTGTACAATCCTTTAATATTTGTAATTTAACATGACTGTCACATAAGGAGGTAGAGTTATCCCTTTCTAAGGTTGAGAGAACTGTATTTGTGGAGGTTTAAATGATCTGTGTAAAATATAGAGTCAGGTAATGGAGTAGTTAAGATTCAATACCGTGCCTCAGGCATCCGAAATTACCCTCTTTCTATGACACTGTGCTAATTCCTTGTCCCTGCAGGAGTCCTCCTCCAGAAAAGGACACTGTTTTATCTCATATGAACTCTAAAAATAGAATAATAGGTGTTTATCATTCTTTGAGTAAGCCCTTAAGTCAAATGGAATCATTTATATCCATGTTGACTGAAGAGCAACATAGCTGAAGATATTCCAAAAAGGAATCATCAAAAAAGTTTCAATACACAGTGATTAAGAATCAGATATTTATAGTCACAGATCAACACAAACTAAATAAATGAACGTACTCACTGTAAACAAAATGTAACGACAAACTAGCAGCAAATTAAAAGGGATCTGCTTACAAAGTGACCTAATGACCCTTTCCCCAAAACTATGTTGGACCTAAGTTTCATTCCTTACAATCCTCTCTTTGCGGATGCAAAGCCCTGTTTATAGTATAACCCTGGTACCAAGAATGCACGCGTGAAAGCAGGGTGTTCCCCAAAACTATGTTGGACCTAAGTTTCATTCCTTACAATCCTCTCTTTGTGGATGCAAAGCCCTGTTTATAGTATAACCCTGGTACCAAGAATGCACGCGTGAAAGCAGGGTCTCCCTCCCTCTGCTGCCCCGCAGCAGCCTACCTGGCATGCCGGATGGACGCGATGGCATTGCTGAACTCGCTGTCGATGCTGCGGCAGTTGTAGAACTCCTCATAGGCGGGCCGGGAAGAGCCCTGGTACTCGATGCGACTGATGCGGCAAATCCCCACGATCAGGATGATCAGCATCAGGATGAAGGCAACGCAGAGGGCACCGATGATGATGTAGAGTGAGTGCCGAGGCATGTTGGTGAGGCTCTCGGCCATGTGCCCAGACTTCCACTGGAGGTCTACAGGCGAAAACAAGCACATGGCTGGGTATGAGCTGCGGCCCTTAGAACGTGAGGTCTTTCCCCTCTTTGCATCAGTCACTAAAATGTAAGGACCGTCCAAACCGGGAAGAATTCTTTTCTATGCATTATCCAGGCCCAGGGCTAATATCCTTGGCACATAAGGACATCTTACAAATCATAAGGAAAACTAGAAATACACCACAGAGAAATGGGCAAAGGATATAAAGAGGCATTCATCAAAGAAATACAAATAAAAATTGTTTAGCTTCATGATTACAAAGAAAGTGATTCCTCAACCAGCTCCTAAATATTATTTAAAAGTTATGATAACCACAGTTGACGAGGGTGGCATTCATCAAAGAAATACAAATAAAAATTGTTTAGCTTCATGATTACAAAGAAAGCGATTCCTCAACCAGCTCCTAAATATTATTTAAAAGTTATGATAACCACAGTTGACGAGGGTGCACAGTAATGGAGACTGTAATTTGATACATGGTTCTTCCATGAACTAACTTGTACTGTGACCCAGATATTCTTATTTTAGCATTTGTGCTGGTAAATAGCCCTGTAAATGCATAAAGCTGTATATAGAAGGATGTTCTTCTTAGTACCACAATTTTTAAATGTTAAATCATCAACTATTACACATTTAGAAAAAGGCTTAGGAAATCAGCATAGACACCCATATACTCACAGCTCGGAGTTAATAAATGTTAATATTGGACCACTTTTGCCTTAGATTTCTTCATAGTTTTTCAAAAGAAGTAAAATGTTACAGATATAGCCAGAGTTCTCCCACCCCCATATGCTTTCTCCACCCCACCAACAACACTGCAACAGATATAAGTGAAAAAATGGGAAATGACCGAAATATTCAACCCTGTGAGATGGGAGGATGTTCATTAAACAGCAAAAGAATAAAAGAATGTTACCAGACAGGAACTACTTGTATAGTACAATAGTTTAACAACTGCATGTGAGTTTAAAATATCCATCTGTACACTGAAAAGCTCAAAAGGATAGAAATAAAAACAAGGCGAACATACATCATTTCTTACGATGGACTGAGCAGTTCAGAAACATCTCATTTAGTCACTATAACCACCAGAATATATGTTATTCCCTCTGCCCACTTTACAGAGGAGGTTCAGAGAATTGACATCACTTGCGGTGGAGTCCATCAGATGGGAGCCTGGATGTGAGGTCTCAGCCTCTGCACTGCCACCTGCTAACAACAGTCATCTCCAGAAAGCAGGATCACAAATGATTTTTATGTCTTCTTTATACTTCGTAGTCTTTTCTAGCTTTAAAAAATAATAATAATAATGTATTTATTTATTTTACGATAAAAAAGCAGTAAGTTATTTGGAGAAAACACCCGTGGGATTATCTTCGAGGCCAGTGGAAAAAATGCGGGCCTTTGGATCACACCATCATCGATTTCAATCCCAGCTCCAACATTTATTCCACATTCCTGAGCCTCAGTTTCTCCATTTGTAGGATAAAAATAACAACAAATACCACACTGGCTTGCTGTGAGTAGAAGCTAGAACACATGTTAAAAATGTAAACAGTTCACTCCTGGGCATGTAGTGGGTGGGCATGTGCTCCCTAAAGAGGAGCAGCCGCGATGCTAAAGGAGGGAAGAAGAAATAGGGGCGTGCTATCCTCTAAGGCACACGCTCTGAGCTGAGGATTATCGAGCATTAACCCTGTGTCCTTCCTGAAAGCGCTGACTTGTACCAGCAGGAAAAAAGAACATGAAAGGACAGGAGGTAACGTCTGTGTTTGGCATAGGTCGAGAGAGTCAAATGATGACCTGTTTACAGACCCGCATACAAATGGAACTGTCTAGATAACATAAATAGGATTTGAAAACCAACTGTGACAAATAAAAAGGGCTGGCCAAGACCCAAGAGAAGCTGAGCTCGTGTGGACAAGAGGACGCCTTCTCCACCTCACTCACATCACCACCCCCACCCTCCCTCCCAGCCATCGCTTCTAAGTGGGGGACTCTGGGTGCTTGGAAATGGGATTCAGAGGTGAAAATGAGAATGAGTGTGTCTTCCCATGAAATAAATCCTCAGGACTCTTGTCACTGCTCCATTTTAGCTGAGAGAGCTTGTGTCCTCTGGATACCTGTAGCCTCATCTTAGCCACAAGATCACAGAATCTAAAAATCAGAATCAGCTATTCTTTGTCAAGATAAAGAATCTTTATCACCCAGACAAGAAGCCAGGTCTGCAGACCCATTTCCCAGAAGCCTAACAGAAAAATGACCTAAGCATCTGGCCCAGATGGGTCCTGAGAGTTGGAGAACAGATGAATGAAGTGACTTCTGAGTTTGTGTCTAGGCCCTCTGACTCCTGAATAACTTACCAAGACCTTGGAAGCCTGTTTTTGCCATTCAAGTTTGCCTGCCTGAGCTCATAGGGCCCGTGGAGCTTAGTGAAACTGACCAGTAGTGCATTCACCGCTCCAGCTGAGCCAACTTACACTCAGGCAGACAGAGCAGCATAAATCACTGAAAATAAATAGTTGCAATGGAAAGCAGAAGGTGTTTTGTGAAACCAGAACCAAGGCTTAATCCCCAAATAGGCAGCCATTTCACGTGGCAACACTTCATGCGCATTGAGAGAGACAACTCATTTTTCTGGCTAAGTAAGCATGATTCACTTGATTTCCAAGTATTATAACATTCCCTAAAAAATTCAGTCGCAGGCTGGAATCCAGTACTCAGCGGAGTATGTTATAACAGCCATTTAGCATCAACAGGAGAGCAGCCAGCACTATGTTTTTACTCCAACTGGGTAGAGTTCTCAGATCTGATCACTATGGAGGATGGCATGAGGTCTGTGGTCTATGCACAACTTCATACAAATAACTCACACATCATATCGATGGTGTTTATGCAGCGAGTGCACAACCACGTGGCCTCTACAGTGAAATAAACAACCGTACTGGGTTTTGTGTCCCAGGCCTAATAAGCTGCCTACACGGTTTGCATTTTAGACCATCTGCTCCATTTCCCAAAATGCTATGTTCCAAGCTGTTTGGACTTTGGAGAAAACTTTCTCAAAATTTCTCCTGAAACCTCTGCTTTCCTCCCACTCCCCTGCCCTTTTCTTTAAAGCTAGATTCACCTTATTGTCATCTAAAACTCTTCTGGTAGAAGCGAATGTGGCTGCTTTACAGGCTAATCGGTTTAATATCTAGGCTGGATCTGAATAAATCCAACTCTTGTTCTGGGAGGCAGCAAATTTATCTGCACTGGGTGACTACAGCTGCCATCTCCCAGTCCAGGTGCAATCCTCATAAGTCACCACGTCGCTGCATCCCAGCAGTCCCATCGCATGAATCATTTACTATGTAGAGTGCAGCAGGGCACGGAAAGAATCGTGAACCAGAATGTGCCAGATGGGGTGATCTCATCAGCAGGTGCATGACCAGGAACACATGCACCTGAGCTGTCCAGAAAAAATGTCCCACTTGTGGGTATGAGGGATCATTTGCATTTTTGTTTAAGCTAAATTTGTTGAGGTTTTGTAAGAGTGTTTTCCAAAGTGCTTTCCTATTTAACATTTCAGGGACACAATAAATAACTACATTGTATATTGACAAAATAAAAATAATAATTTAAAAAAAAACATTTCAGTTGGCTTGAAACGATCACCTTGAGCTAGGTACAGGGAATAGGCTCAGAGCAGCTGTTCAAGATGAAAGTGACAATCAGCAGCCAAGCAGAGAATAAAACCAGTCACCAATGACCTCCAGGCTACCAAAAATAGACTTCACTCGATTTACATATTTATTCTAAAATACATTGCCCATATCTATTTTCTAATTTACCAAGGTGAGCATAATTAGACTAGTTAATTGGTTACTTTATTAAAATAACCTATGTTATTTTAAAAAGAGAGTGAAAGTGAGTGAGTAATAGTGTGTTTTGTGAAGATATCACTTAGCTCAATAATTTTTGAGACCATCTGCTGCCTAGAACAATTGTGAGGAGGGATTTCAAATTGCATTTTCTATAGTTAAAGTTTAGCTGGACAATCAAAGCAGTCAATGAGACTGCAAAATGCTAACAACCCTTGCTGATTGTCAAAAGAGGAATGAGTGGAGAAAGGGAATGGAAGGAATAGGTCATCTTCTTTGTAGGAATCCATTCACTGGGCACATGCATTAAGCACCTGCTGTGTGCCAAGCATAAAGAGTGAGGGATACAGAGGTCAAACGCAAATGACCACAAAATAAATGCTAAAGTACAGCTGTGCTAAGACAGCAATGCCAAGCTCTGCAGTGCTACAGGGAGGACACGGGAATGCTCCGTCTCACTGAGTGTCAAGAGAGCATGCACCAGGGCAGTCCCAAGGGAGCTGGGCTCTAGGGGTGAGTAGGCACTAACCAGGGATGGAAAAGAGCAGAGGGGAGACTGTCCCAGGCATGGAGCCAGAATAAGCACAGGCCTGGGGGAGGAGGGGGGAGAGCAGAGCCAGGGACGGGAAGGAGGACAGTGTGGCTGCTCAAGAGTGAGGCAGAGAGTGGCCCAAGTGACAAGGGGGCACCACCCTGCAAGGTAGAGCAGCCTGCACAGGCCCTGTAGGCAGTAGCATGGCCTTTTGTCTACAGTCATCCATGTATTTTAACAAGAGCTTGGCATGGGCAGGGATGGAAATGGTGGGAGGATGGGTTTGAGTGTTCAGATCTGTGCTTTGACAAGATCCGTCTGGCTGCATGTAAAGAAAGGGGTGAGGGGCAAGGGTAGAAGCTGGTTTGGAGGCTACTGCAGTCTGCGCACAGAGTTGGTGGTGGCTGGGCCTGGGGCGGTGGGGTGGATTCGGACAGGCGAATGAATGTGCATGATGCATTAGAGATGGTGAACCCAACTAAACGCAGCTTGCATAGGCCAGTGAAAAGAGAGAAGGGCAGCATCACACCCTTGGTTTCTGGGCTTGTATTGCTGGATCCATGAGGCTGTGGCCAAGCAGGGA